CGCGCGGACGGCCGCCGCGGCGCGCTTTCCAGAGAGGACTCGGGGCCGCGCGGGGGACGGCGGGGTGTTCCAGGCCGCGCGGCTGTTTCCGGGGAAGGTGGCAGTGTGTCTCTCTCGGTGATAAATTTCTGAAATTTAAACAGTTGCCGTGTATTGTGACCATGCCATATATTGTGACGATGACGCGCGTCTGCAGTGCGTGGTGTGTATGTGCGTGTGTGCGCGTGTTTGTGTGTGCGTGCATGTGTGTGCGCGTGTGCGTGCGTGTGTGTGCGTGCGAGTGTGTGCGTGTGTGTATGTGTGTGTCCGCGTGTGTGCGCGCGCGCGTGCGTGTGCGCGTGTGCGTGCGCGTGTGCGTGCGCGTGTGCGTGCGTGTGCACGTGTGTGTGCGTGCGTGCGCGTGTGCGCGTGTGTCCGTGTGTGCGTGCGTGTGCGCGTTTGTGTGTGCGCGCGTGCGTGTCCGTGTGTGCGTGCGAGTGTGTCCGTGTGTGCGTGTCCGCGTGCGTGTGTGCGCGTGTGCGTGCGCGTGTGCGTGCGTGTGCGCGTGTGTGTGCGCGCACCACCTTGAGGCGCGTGGGCCCGGGCCCGCCGCAAGTAGAGTCTGTCCCTTCCGTCCTCCGGTCCCAGTCGTCGCGCCGAGCGCCCTGTAGGCGGGCTGGCAGGCGCGGACTAGCGACGCAGAAACGGAGGCTCCGGCCTCAGGGCGCTCTCCGCAGGTTCGAGTCCAGGCCCGGACGCCGGGACGCCGGGGACTTTCTGCGGAGCGGCGGTCAGCGTCGCGGCCTGGAGGCCGGGAGACGCCCCCTGTCCCGCTCACCCGCACACTTTGTGCCTCCCGCGCATCCTTCAGGCCTCGGGTGAAGGCCTTTCCCGGCGGAGCCGTCCGCAGTCGCTCCCTCTCCGCGCACGGCCGCGTGCAGTCCAGCCGAGCTCATCGTCCCCCTCGGACTCCAGGCGTCTCGGACGGAGTCCAGCCGCTCTGCTCGTGAACGCTGTCGGCACGGCCCGCGCAGCCTGCCGCGCTGTGCTCCTAACACCGGTTGAGCGGACGAATAACCGACTTCAGTGAAGAGGAGGCCCGGCTGCGCGCCCCGGTTTGCCGAGTGAGGCCCGGACTGCTTCCGCTCCGCGCTGGACGCCCGAGGAGACGACTCCGGAGGAAGTGCACCCAGCTTAGAGGACACTGTTCTGCGCTCTCTGCAGCATGATTTAGCAACGGTCTGCGGCCGAATGAGCAGGAGTCGGAGCCCTCAAAGAGGGTCACGCTGACAAATGGGTTTCCTAGCTGCAGATTTCACAGAGCGTGCAGTAAGCTCGGCTCACAGCGGCCCGACGCAGACTGCTTCTGTTTGAGGAGCACGCAGTAACGCCGTGCAGCTGGGGCGGGGGATTAAACTAAAGGGATCTCTGTGCACCGTTTCTCCCAGTTCTTCCCGGGCCCTGGGAGGTGGAAGCGGCCCAGGGGAGAGCTAAACAAGAATAATTTGCACTAGTGAAGGCAGGCGCCTTCCCTTGGACTCTGTTATGCTGTGCGACAAGTTGGTTTTGTTGTTGATCGTTGAAAACGTAGATTACAAAGGCGCTGCGGTCCCCTTTATCCGCAGGGAATAAATGGCAGGACGCCCGTGGTACTCAGCACCAAAGCCCGTGCACTGGTCTTCCCTGTACACAAATAGCTGTGATGACATTCCCGCTATACACGGCGCAGCAGAGTAACAACAATAACTCAAGATAAAACCGAACAATTATAACATACTGCAATACATGTTATTTAAAATATATGAAGTATTCATTTCTGGAATTTTCCATTTAATACAGTCAGACTGTGGTCCACAGTAGTGAATCAAACCAAGGAAAGGAGGTGTTATGATTTAGCTCAAGAATGACATCCCCAGCTCTGACGCGTTCAGAGGTGGGCTTCTGGAAGGCACACAGGGAGGACAGTGGAATGTGGGGCCCAGGCTGCTGGAGTGTGGCCTGGAAGAGCCTCCTCCCTGGCTCCTCCCCTTGCTCTCTGCTTCTGAGGCACTGTGACCTCAGCAGGTTCCCTCTGCCCAGGCCCTGCCACCGCGCCCCACAACCAACCATGGATGGTAACCACGAGCCAAAACAAACCTCTCCTCCTGGAAGTTACGGAGGTCAGGTGTCCATCCCAGCGGTGAGGAAGGGGGCTGAGACATGGCACTACCGTGTGGAATTGCCTGAGTTTGGATCCAGCCCTACCGTTTCCTTGCTTCATGGTTTGGGAGGAGTCCCTTGGCATCTCTGCACCTTGGATATTCTATTTGTGAATACAGACAATAATGTCTAACTTAACAGTTAAGTGTTTTTTTAAAGCTCTTGTATCCCTTTAGAATTCTCCTAAGTACAAATGTCACTTAGATGCTAATAATTGACTGATTAACATTAAATTTACAACCTCAGACAGGTTAAATGATCTAATTAAGGCTGGCATTAGGTGGGCAGGATCACAGAAGACTAGCTTGCAAACCAGTTCTTCTCTGCCAGCTGTCTTTGAGCCCCAGCACAACAGTCTCCACCCTGACTGCTGTTTTTCCAGCTTGAAGGGTTCCAGTTTTTTAACAGCATTTCTTGAGCTCTTCCTCTAAGTTCATGTTGTGATTTCACTATACTTTATTCTCCAAGAGAGAAGTGGAGCAGCTGTCCATCAAGACTCAAAACACTGCCTCCAGGCACTTCTCCCAGGGCTGGGTGAGTAGCCAGTGGCAGAGCTCTTAGTACTCTAGAGAACCACACTACCATGAGCAGTAGGGACCTGCTTAGCACGGATCAGTGAGTAGGATCTCCCCTCATTTGCTGTAGCTTAACTTGATTTTAAAAGAATCATAGTGGGAGTCTCAAAGAAGAAAACTTTTCAGGGGTTCTGCTGGAGCGCAGTGTGAAAATTCACATCATTTGAAAACCACACCTGAACTGCCCTGCCTAAAAGAACCTGCTTCTGGAAAACCAGCGGTGGCCTGAGAGTGACATGGGAGTGGTTTCTCCCCCAGATGCACAGTGCAGTCAGCCCTCCCACCCTTCACCCAGTAGGACATCAACTCGGGCAACATGCGCTAGATGAGACACTTGGCACAATCTGTTCTCAGAATCTCCAGCTCTCACTTTGACACAGGAAGCAAGCGACATACTTTTCAAATGTTGACTGTGTTTGGGGACAGACTCTCAATGTCCAGGGCAGTGCTTGGCAGTGATGTTCTGACAGCACTTAACTCTTACCGGGTTTTTTACTTATGAATCAGCAATTGTCTAATGACCTAAAAAGATGCTTTTGAAGACACGGAAGCTTTCCACCTGCAGTGTGTACCCAGCACCTTTAGGAACCACCTCAGTGCCGTGGGTGTTCCCTGTCCCTTATTCCAGCCCCCAGGCGGGCTCTCAGCATCCTCCCGTGGGTGCAGGCTGTCAGGACCTTGTCTCCTCTCCATGCCCACACCTCTGCTGGGTCCATGCCAAGAACATTGGAGGAGTAGGTTTGGAGAGCAGAACTGCGACCAGCTGAGCCTAGGTTCTCAGGGGCAGATGCTTCCCTTTCTTCTTCTGAACAGACAGTTCTGCAGCGTCCCTCATGTGGTGCCTCCAGCAGCCCGCAAGGATCTGAGAGCCACTCGCCAGGATCTGTGGCCAAGCTCGTCACACCTTCGTGTGCTGGTTTTCCCTCCTCTGTGTTTCACCCTTCCGGTCTCTGGCTCCTGCTTGTGGTTCCCACTTCCCAATACATATTTCCAACCCGGCCTTTGCCGTCTGAGGTGGGAGTGGGGGGCCAGGCTGAGACCCGGTCACTTGGCCTATGTTCCTTTTAACTGAATGGAGTGATGGTGTCTAGACTGTCTTTACACCCGCTCATCCCCATTTTCTGAATACCAAAGTCTACCCTTCTTTTCACTGTGACTCTCCATCCACTTAAGTGTATGAGACAGTTTATAGGCATATCCGTTTCCTGTCGCCCCCGTCACTGTAATGAAACAGCTGGGGCAATTAATTTTTAGGGAGAAAAGGTTTACTTTGGCTCATGCTTTGGGGGATTCTGTCCTACGATCAGGCAGATGCCTTGCATTTGGACCAGTGGCAGGGCAGCACTTCACAGCATAAGCACATGGTGAATGAATCCTCCCACTTCTGTGGCCAGGGACCAAAAGAGAAGAAGAGCAAGAGTGAAAGAGGAGGACTTCACAGTTCCTCTCAAGGGCCCCCGCCAGCGACCTGAGGACCACCCACGAGGTTCCCCCTCTTAGAGCGTCTACTGCCTCCCCTGGAGCCACTGAGCCTTCAGCACATGGACTTTGGGGCCTCTCAACATCCAAACTACAGCGTGGGCATTACCTGTGCCCTTGCTTTGTCTGGTGGAGCTCAGCGAGCACATGAATCAGGATGTCTCCACTTGGGTCATGGCAGCACCCAGAGTGGAGTCCGTAGTTCAGATCTGGCGACTGGTCAGGAACTTTGGCTCTGCTCTCATCCACTAACTTTAACCTGGCTCGGCTTTATTTTCCCAAGCTGTATTTTTAACTTCCTGCTAGGTTTTTACTGGTTCATTTTATCCTGCTCTGTTTATGGATTTGAAGTATATAAACAAGCGATGATGTGAGCTTCAAAAAAAGTTTAATAACACATAAATGAGTAGGCCTTTAAAAAATCGTGTAACCCAAATGTCCCAATGTTGCATATAATATTTTTACAATGTGGAAAAACTATTATTACAAATGATTAGACAATTACAATTTTTTAAAAAAATTATCATGTGAAAGCTTTAATATCATCATCTGGAGACCGTTTATTGAATTTGTTTAATGCCTCAAAGTCCCTTGGGTTCATATGTACCTGTTCATGACTACTTTCTTGGTATCAAAGAGGCGGGCAAGGGATGAGGAAGCTAAAAACACAGCCTGCCATAAATCTACAGTTTGATTGTGGGCTGTTAATTTCAAATTTTTTGTCTCTCTCTCCTTCTTTTTTGCCTAGAATATAACAAGACTGGACTTGGGGTGTGGTTAAGTGTGACAATGCTTACCTAGCATGTGCAGTACCTTGGTGCTTTATCTCCAGCCCACAAAAATGCATAAATGAAATAAAATAAACTATTAAAATATTGACATCGGTTTGTGTCGGTGTGGGCCATATCATCAAGATCAATACGCACAAAGTTTTAAAGGCTAATGATGGACACAGTATTCACAGGAACGACGATTTCACATGTAGTAACAGAAGACTGATCCAAAACAATAACTAGAAAATCCCAGTTTGAGCTTTTACTTGTCATTCACTCAGGCCCATGAGGGCTGATGTGCAAATCGTCCTGAGAGCTGGGGAGGGAAGAGAAGACTGTGTTACCTTTCCAGGGTGCAGAGACACTGTGGCCGGAGAGCAACCTGGAATCTACCTCGGCCACTGGCCATGGGTCTCCCAATGGGCTCCTTTCTGCACCCTCAAAAAAGTGAAAGCCTCACAATCTACACGTGTGGTGGTGGCCTACAGATCTGGGGCAAAGGGCTCCTTTAGGGTGTGTCCTGGGAACTGAGAGCATATTCCATGCAGCACTCTTCCCCCTCAGGTGGTCTGATATCCAGGGGACAGGAATAGGGGGAAGCAGAGCGTAACTGAGAGGAATGACCAGAAGCCATCCCCTGAGGGTGTCTAGAAATAATTAGTAGAAAGATTTTCAAGGAGGAGAGACCCACATTAATCAGACAGAATCAAGAGCCAATGTCAATTTCCCACCAGTAAATAATTTAATTCTCTAGCTGCTAGAAAGACTGCTGGAAGACTGCCTTCAGCTGTCAGTCCTTTTTGAGCTCAGCTGAAGGAAATCTTACTACTGGCCGTGCCCGCCCTTAGGGACCAGCCACATCAGTACAGTTTTTACTTCACTGTGGGCATCCCACAGCATCACATTGAAAGTAAAAGACAGCTCCTCTCAAGGGCATCTCTGAGATGCCATCTTTTGGCATCTTGTACCTCTCACTACACAAACAGAAGCTTGAAACTTGACAGCAATCACGCACCTTTAATCCCAGAAGCCTTTGTTGTGGTGCTGGGGATCAAACCCAGGACCTCACACATGCTAGGCAAGCACGCTAACCCTGAGCTACGTTCCCAGCCCAGGCCCAGCACCCTTAATCCCAGCACTGCACAGGGGATCAGTCCACTGGTTGGATTGGCCCTGCCCTAACCCCAGCAGTCTGGAAAAAATAAAAGGGACAAAAGGAGGCTTTCTCCTCCCCCCGACCCCTGCTTGTTGCTTTGCTACTTTCTGCCACCTTGACTATTCTCCTCTGCTAAGCCACCCTACCTTGGAGTCCACTGATTATGGACTGAAACCTCTACAAACTGTGAGCTAGATAAACTTTTCTCCTTTTAACTTTGGGTATCCCGTATTTCATCTCAGCAACAGGAAAAGTAACTAAGGTAGCAGGTAGCAGGTATTTTGTACTAGTGACAAAAAAGTGAATAATACAGATGCCAAGTGGAATTTTTGGTAAGCCCCAGTGTGAAAATAATACCCATAAGATTCCGGAGCAACATTTTGCTACCTGCAGAAGAGAATTCTACAATTCTGAATAACAGCTCTGGCACGCTATGGGGACCTAGTATTAACAGAGTACCTAATCATGAGACACCACGTGACGGTGTGCGTCCAGAAGCCCATCCTGAGCTGGATAGGCCATGGAATATACCACTTTAAGACTGGACTGCAACTCTGGGATTATACCCAAGCCAGACTGGCAGCATAGTAAAGCCGCACAAACCTCCAGATCAGCCACTATTTCGGCATGAGCGCTTCTCCAGCTCACGCCTATCGCTGTGTGGAAGCTTCCACGACCAGCTGATTAACAAAGGAGTTCAGATTTGCTTCGCGGCTGGGTCAGCCCCGGGTAGGGGTGCAACCCCTGAAAACGCAGAGTGACTACACTGCAGTCCCAGTCAAGGGTGACCTTGAGAGACGGGGGAGGGAGATCTTCAGATAGTCCCTGGGTGTCCTAGTCACCTTCCCATCACTGATACAAAACACCCAACGCCCTCAGTTTAAAGGAGGAAAGGGTTACTTTGGTACACTTGGTAGAGATTTCAGGCTGCGTCATCTGGCTCCAAGGCACGGGGGGATGGTGGAAGGGCGCGAGCGGAGAACAGCCAGGCAGCAGAGGGTGAGGGGAAGAGCCGGGATGGGGATGCAGCCCCCTCAGTGACCCTCCTCTGCTCTCCAGCCCTGGCTCCTGACAGCACGGCCTGTTCTGAGCTCTTCAGTGGATCGATCCTGTAATGAGTACAGCACCCTCATAAGCCAGTCATTTCCCCAAAGCCCCCCCCCCCGAACACGTGAGCCTTTGGGGGACATTTGAGTTCTAAACCATAACATTTGTCATCCACTTCATATAGAAAAATCAGTGGCCTGGAGTCGGAAGATGTGCAGACCTGTGAGCAGCGGCACACGGCTGGAGCAGATGGGCGGGGAGCTAGAGGCAGAAAGCCCGGGAGACGGCAACGGTCTGAAGTAGAGATACCTGGTAGGCCTGTGAAGGGGCACGGAGCACGAGCATCTTTCTACTGCACCTTAACAACCACAATAAAGAGACACTAAACACAAGGACTGACGGTGACTAACTGACTGAGGGCAGCCAGCACCTGCCGTCAGCCACTTGAGCGTGGCACCATGGCCCTTGAGTAGAACAGCCACGGGAGCAGGGCTTTGGGCTGTGCCTTGGCCCACTTGCCTGGCTCTCCCCGTACCAAAACTTTTCTAGCTACTGCCACTGTCAGATGTCCGACACTCCAGTATCAGAGAGTTCTCCTGAGTCCCGAGCATAGTAACACCCCGCAAGGACTCCAACCAGAAACTCTGGTCAGCTTGCCGTATGCGATATCTCCTAATTCATTTTTAACCTGAATGAACACATATTCCAGATATGGGTTTATGCTTTCTGCCCTTACCCCTTCTGCTTCTACAGTGTTCATTACTCTTCAGTGGGATCCATATACTATCAAGCAAAGCAAGGAGCTCACCTTTTAGCAGAGGAGTTGCTGAAATGGGCCCATGTCCATGGACTGCACTGGTGCTATTGCATGCTCTGGTACTGAGTGGCTGGCAGCCAGAAGGAACAAAGACACAGACAGACTTGTTGAAAGCTTAGCTGATTAGCCGGCTTAAAGGTGACTCTTTGTGAGGATGGAGCACATTGTTCAGGAGACAGGGTACATCTTAAATCAAAGACCTTTGCATGGTGTTGTGTTCACAATGGGTAGAATGCATAAATCTAGGAACTAAGGGGTGGAAGCAGGAATAGTTCTGCCAGCCATCACTCCCAGTGACCTACTTCAAGAATCCTTAAACACCAAACCATGTAGGTTTTGAGGCCCTGGTTCCTAAGAGGGAAATGCTCCTTATGGGGGATGCAGAAACATCCCCTTTGAACTATACCTGTAGCTGATACATTGGTGCTTCTTGAACCAAGGGGCAAATAGGCAAAAAAGAGGAGTCACTATCTTGGACAGGATGACTGAGTTTGATCATTAGAAGGAAGAAGGGTCATAAGGAATACAAGTAGAACCTAGATCAGCAATGGAAGACCTTCTAGAGCTTTCAGTGATAAACAACCTACTGTGGTACACATGCGATAGGTTCACCAGCACTGACCTAGGTGATCCACTTAGATCCTGCTTGATACTCCCTTCTCCACCTGTGAAACAACGCAGACTACAGTCTGACAAGGCGTAATGGCCAGGCTCACCCTCAGAGATAACCAAGTGGTCTTATGACAAGGAATCCACTGAGATCCGAAGTGAAGCTTGTTGAGAATGAGAGAAAAATCTTGAACAGGTAATCAAGGGCGGAGAAGATGAGTAAGAGATTTAGGATCAAACAAGCTATAGCGGCAGGGGACGTAATTTGTCACACCAACCTCCCTCTTCTAAATTCCCACCAGGAACACAAGCTCACTGGTGTCTCCCTGATAACTGGGTCTGTAGAACCTACAAGAGGAGGATCCAAGTGCTGCAAGGGGTGGACCGTAGCAGAGGGTTTGACATAACGTCCAGATTCCTGCTCAGGAGGATTCCTATTCAGAAAAAAAGTAACTTATTTCCAAGATAAGAATGCTGGGAATGCTGTCAGGAGCTGGTCCCCAGATCTTAGCTTTAGGACTTGCTTCATCTAAAGAACACAGCATGTGTGATGGGAAGGTCACTTCTGCCGGCAACAATATTTGTTGGAAACTGATTGGTATGAAAGTGGGGAGTACTACCCCCCTTCCCGTAATTTGGAACAACTCTAAAGTGCTCCATGTGGGTTGGCTGATGTTTTTGACGGCACTGCGTATCCTCACCTACCCCTCTGTGTCGTGTTTTTCCTTTTCCTTCAACAGATACTGATCCAAAGAGTACTCCTTCTCTGGGACCAAAAATAGACTGTGAAACTTGGGTCATCACCAGGTGAAAAAATTTGCATTGACAGGCTAGGGAGGTCTATTAATACCAAACGGTATATTTAGGAGTGTTTTGCTAGTTGTCAATTGATTCTGATCAGATATACATATATGTATGCAAAGTGCACTCTGTGAGACTCAGATGCCAGATCTCCAACCTAACTCTCAGTTCTTGTTTTGCAAGTTAGTCATTTTGTGAAAGAGAATGTACTTTCATAGAGCTAGGTAGATACAAAAATTCCTCATAGTTTTCACATGGTCAGAAACTTTAAAAGAATTTGTGAATTCACATTTTCATTTCCAGAATCTTAAACTTTTGGGCCTCCTTTGCATGTTTAGCTTGTTTTTCAGCCCAATCGGTTCTTGAAGCTGAGCTACACTGATAAAGCAGATGTTTAATAATTCCAGTACATGCTGAGGCTCACATTCCATGGGAAACTGCAAAAACTTTAAAACATATTTCATTTTTATCCAACTCTGAATCATTCCTTGAATTATGACTTCATATTCACCCCAGAGCAGCTCTTTAAACTCCGCAGAGATTTGGGGAAGCCAGGGATGATCAGAAAAGGTCATCAGTATGTGCCTGGCTGTTCCCTGCTTGTTCGGGTGTCCACTTACCCTGGTGTTGGGACATGTCAGCAACACAGGGCTTCTTGTACCCTGAGGTACTGCCTGGCTGCATCAGTAAAAAAGCTCTGTCTGGAGTGCCACTGGGAAAGAACAAAGGGGTCTTCTGAGTTCTTTTGTGACCAAAAGTTACTGACCTGAGGATGTAGCTTAGGTGGCCTCTTTAACAAATTCGCAGTAATTCTGCAGACAGTGCAATGTCAGTTGGGCAGGTACACCCTGCCTTTTGACACCAGCAAAGAACTGAGGACCTCCCACCCGCTTTCATGTGATCCTTCTGAAGCGAGGCAGCCAGCTTTTCCTCCTTCCACCAAACTCCTCAGTTCTTTCACAGCAAAAGCACACGGACTGCTTCATTCTACGGTGCTGTCAGCCACCTGGTCCCTGCTTGGCCGCAGCTCAAGCCAGCCTCGTTGCTTCTCCTCCTTTTCCCTTCCACCTCCGAGCTCTGCTTTTCAGAGCTTGGACGCTCTGGCACCTTTCACAGTCCTGGTCTGAAGGGCCGGAAGAACAGATTTCCTCCCCTGTCCAGCGTGGAGGCCTGTGCTGCTGCCTCGGCCATGGAGGGCTGCCGAGGATGGGCGCGGGCAGGCGCGACTGGAGAGGCGGCCGGGCGTGCGCGAGCCAGGGGCCCTCAGAGCCGAGTCGGAAAGCGGTCTCTGGGCCCACTGCTTTCTCAGTGGGGTTAGGCTGCCTCCCTCGCGGACCTTCACAGTGTAACGGCGCCCGGGGCCTGGCCCGGGGGAATACTGCGCCAGCCCTTGTGCCGGCCACACCGACGTGCATGTTGGTGTGAACACGCTGGCGGTGCTGTTCCTCTTCCCTCGAAGGTATTTGTACCTTCCCCGGGAAAGGCCGCTGTTTAAAACGTTAAACCTTTCTCGTCCCGGCGACTGTCTCAGTCTGTTTCCCACCGCTGACAGAGTCCCTGCGAGGGAGGCTTGTTCCTTGTGCTGCGAAGAGAAGGCGCCGCAGATGGACGGGCGAGCTCTTCGCCCGTCGGGAGCCGCCTCCCGCGGTGACCGCCTGCTCCTGAGCAGCAGCCTGCACCCTTTAGGAGACTGCCCTGGAGTCCCGATACCTCTTTTATTTCAACTTCTGTTTCTTATTAGTGCGTGTTTGCAGTGCGGAAGGATCACGCCCTCGCGGGCACTGATACGCACGCGTCACACAGTGTCGTTCCACTTCCCCTCCCTCTCCTGGTTCCCTCCTTCTCTCGATCCCCTCCGCCTTCGCGAAAGTTCTATCTCCCTGTGTCCTATTAATCTATCTCTTACTTTTTATTTATATTTCGGGTTTCTCATGTAAGAGAAATCATGTGGCATTTAAGCTCCTGTATCAGATTTATTTCATGTAACATTATTGTATCACAATATAACTATTTTCCCACAAATGACTTGAGTTTATCTTTCTTTAGGGTGGAATAGTACTCCATGGTGTATAAACATCACATTTTCTTTATCCACTTATCTGTTGAGGGTGGATGCTACGCACTCTTCAATACAATAAATATTATTTCATAGATTTCACCTAAAATTAGAAAGTATAGTATTTCACGTAATTATAAAACAAATTAAGCCTTAAAAACACAACCAAATAGGAAATTTGAAAATAAAAAGAAACAAGAATCTAGTAAGTGGCCTAACCATAATATTCAAAATAAATTTAGAGCAGTAATTTAAAACAGTCCATTTCTAGAGGGGTACGCCTTTTTTAATTAGAATTTTAAATTTTTATTAGTATGTGTTTGCAGCATGTAACTATTATACTCGTTGTGAGGAATCCATACATGTACGTAACGCACATCAATCCTTTTTCCCCGTGCTCCTGTTCTCTTTTCTAAAACATTTTGCCAGTGTAAGTTTCATGTAAAAGTCCTTGTCAAGTTACTTATCATAAATATGGATGGACAGCCAGACCAGCAGGCCAAAAACATGTGAAACACATATGCCAGTTACACTAGATCAAAGTATACCTTCAGATACGCTGTCCATGCTGGATTACAGTAACTTTTCCCTTCTCTTTTTTCCTATTGCCTGTCTTTTACTTTACTCTATTTATACTTTTGGCTTCTTATATAAGAAAAAATATATTATGTTTAAGCTTGTGTGTCCGCTCTACTTCTCTTTGCTGTACTTCCTTCCCTCTAAGACCGTTATGGTCTCACAATGCACTCATTTCCTTACAAATGACCAAGTTTATCTTTCTTTATGGCAGAATAGTACTCCATTGTGTGCACTTTCTCCATGTATTCGTCTCTCGGTGGACATATGGCTGCTCCCAGATTTAGCTGTTACGAATTGTGGTGCTGCACCTGACACCTCTGTAAGGCGCTGCCTCTTCACACTGCTCCAGTGGGAATGAGATTCCAACCTGAGCCTGGTGGGGGACATTCAAACAGCAACAGCAGCTTTGTTATTTTTAGCTCTGATTAGCCATTTAGTGGTCAACGCCTTGGGCGTCCCCCGCTGGTCCCGCCAGATTTAGCTCCTCACACGTTCACAGACGTGCAAGGCCGTGGCCCCAGGCTGAAGTCTCTGGCTTTGAGCTCCCCTACACTCAGATCAAAAGAATCTCCCTCAATTCCTTTATGAATGCTCTGTGCAGGGACCGAGAATGGCTCTCTAGGAGCAGCGCCATGTGATCACGGACATGCTCCTTCTCCACCCGACTTTCTGCAGCTGCCAGCACGTGCGGGTCCAGGGCCGGCCGGCAGGTGCTGTTGGGTGAATCGTACGTGCTGCCGGAGGCTCAGCACCGTGCTGGTTCCCAGTGCATGTGACGAACTCCGCTGAACAGGAAGGCTTGCCTTGTGGGCAGGGCCAAGGCGGCAGGGAAAGCAGGGCTGGGATTTAGCCAGATCGTTTCAGCATGCAGTCCGTGCTATAGGGTAAGAGGCATCTGGGATGGGCATAAGGGTCGGGGGAAACGATCCAGAAACGACATGGATGTGGACTCTTAAGGACAGGAGGAATTTACCAACCCATCTGTACTTCTCAGGGTAATGATGGGGCCACTGGCCATCTGCTCCCCGTTCTGCTCCTATCTTTTTAATCTAAGTTCTCCTTACTCCCCAGCCAGCCCAGCCTTCTGTTCAGGGAAGCTGATCTGCTTCCGCAGCCCCCAAGGACTTGCTGGGTGCTGTCTGGCTGCTTGTGCCCACGCCGGCCACCGCTGGGACTATCCGTTCATTACGTGCCAACAGGCCTTGCTGGACCCCCAGAGTCCAGGCAGCCTTCCCTAAAGAGCTCTGTTCTGGGCCCTCTATTTCCCACCTACTCCAAACTTGCATTTTTAGCCTGTGCCGTGTAATTCTAAGGGCCGAGATAAGTCACACTGGCACGGAGCACGATTTGGATGTCTACAGGTAAAAGTAATAGAAGAAAAGATGTCAGGGTTCTCCTCGTGAACTCTTATAAACACAGGACACGGAGTGCTCACAGCATTGCATGTCAGTGTGGAAATCAACCCAGGGGCAGGTATCTGCCTGCTTCTCCAAAGGACTCGTACTGTCCCCTCTATTGCTATGTCAGTGTAACATGTCACAGCGGGCATGGTGGTGCAGGCCTGTAATCCCAGCACTTGGGAGGCTGAGGTAGGAGGATTGTTGTGAGTTTGAGACCAGCCTGGGCTACAAAGTGAGCTCAAGGCCAGCCTGAACTGCATAGGGAGACCCTGACTCAAAAAGACAAAAAAAAAAAAAAAAGGAACATGTCATAACTACATCAAGACACACTTTTTCATATAATTCAGCACTGCTTAGAGATATCAATATTTGGTGGGGAAGGATAGGTGTTTTCAAGTGGTCTGTATAACCACTGTCAGACTTTTCTATTTGACACTAAAGTGAGTTATATTCTATCTTTATATTCCAATAGAAGAAGGAAACAAAATAATAATATATTAGGTGCAATGGCACCCACTTGTAACCTCAGCTTCTGAGGCTGATGCAAGAGGATTGCAAGTCTGAGTCCAGCCTGGGCAACATAGGGAAAATTTATCTCAAAATAAATTTAAAAAGACTGATGGTGTAGCTCAGTGGTAGCACTTCCCTAACACGCATGAGGCAAAGAGTTCAACCCCCAGTATCACAAATAATAATAACTTTGTAATTGTGAGCACGCTTCCAGTTCATGTATGATAAACATCACGTCCTCTAAGATGCTTTCCTAAATCCCTAAGAGAGGGGTCACCTTGCATTGTGCTCAGAGCATCTTATCACACCTCTAGCATGGCCTGTCCTGCAAAGTATTACAGTTTAGTACCTCTCTGACTCTCAGCAGACAGAACTTTTCAGTAATAGAGGAGCTTGGCTTCTATATTTGCATACTTCTATGATCTGCCTTATTGTAGAACTCAGTACACATTAAAAATACTTAATAGATAAATGAATGGTGAAAGAAAAATAAAAGTACTGGCTGGAAAATATTTGTGAAAGAAAGTTGGAAGTTGAGGGTGAAACTAAATGTCTAAATTTTTCTAAGGCTTTTTTTTTATCCCTAGAATATGTAAAAAGAAGTCAGTTGTATGAATTTGGGCTGCACTTCCACTATGTTAAGAAACTGATTTAATTAAGTCTCCCTTTTCCATAAGAGTTTGAAAAGAAATAGTGCTCCAAAAGTTAGAAGAGTAGAGAGAAAATAGTTACCATGTAAATTATGGAGTATTAGGTACTTCTCTGAGTATATTCTTTCTCATGCTTAAAAGTTAATCTCTGAGTTATGCACTATAATAATAGGTGAGGAGGTGTTCCTGGCACTAATGCATAAAATATGTGCATGCAATTTGGAGGCTGAAAAGTGGACCCTTCTTGGAGGGGAGAAAGAATGGTGTAAAAGTTACTGTCAATCTAGGGGAACAGAATGTTATTATCTATGAGGTTACCTGATTTTAAATACTAATAGCCAAACTGTTCAATAAAATATGAATACTTATTACGGCAATCCATATCACATGGTACACGTCCTATTTCAGGGCGACAGGTATCTTAAAGGAAAACACTAACTA